GGTTTGGAGGTGGAGTTGAGGTTGCAGTGCACAGTGATCTCAACGTCCACCAGAGCGATGCTGAGGTGTGAAGGCCAATTGAGGTTCCAGTAAGAAAACTGCTGCTAATGCAAAGGAGGATTGATATGGAATCGAGGCTCACCAAGTTGGTAGATCTATGTGTCCGACTCTAAGGTTCTCCAACAGACTTAAGTCGAGCTGCTGTGTGGAATATTTGTCAGGGAGCCACTTGGTTAAGATAATGGCATTTTGTTTGCTTCCCGGATGTCCAGAATACGTTCATTCTGGTCAGAATAACCAGTTTGGTGAAGTTATTTTTCCAAACTTAGAGTTAAAGTGAGATATTTACATATGCATGATTAAAAAAATACAAGCACATTTTTCCTCATGGTCAGAAAAAAAATTGGACCTGAACTTAGAATGACCGAAATCTTTGTTTTCTGGCATACAGCAAATAAGAGACAGAATGTCAATAATGTGTGTTGACTGATTTTCATACATAAAAATTTCTAAGTTTAGATTAATCCAAGAAATAGCTGCATAGATGCTTAAAGGGTTGATTATTTGACCCAAAATGAAAAGTTTTTGTTTTGTGTTTTGGTCCAGATCTCCATCAATACTGTATGTGTAAAGAAGACGGGGTTCTCAATGAGCTCAGCAACCAGGAGGGGAACTCCACTTTAAAACAAGAGGAACCAGAACCTCTGCAGATAAAACAGGAGCAAGAAGAACCAGAACCTCAACAGTTCAAAGAGAAGCAACTCTGCATCAGTCAAGATGAAGAGCAGCTTGTGCTGAAACTGGAGACTGATGACATTTTGGTGAATCCTTCTACTGTGCAGAGAATTCTGAAAGAAACAGAACCACAGAGGAACCAACTCATCTCTCATGGTTCTACTGAAGATGAGAATCAGAATCAGGAAGGAAGCAAAACTGAGGACTCAGGAAAAAAGAGAGATGAAAAACAGAAACATCAGAGAACCAAACAGCAGAAAGGTAAAACTGAGAGTTCAAAACAGAAAACGCACAAGACAGCTCATCCAGACCAAAAACAATATTCTTGTAAAATCTGTGGTGAAGCCTTTTCTCACAGCAGTTCCTTGACAACACGCATGAGAACTCATTCAGACAAGAAACCTTTGACATGTTCAACCTGTGGAAAAAGTTTCAGATGCAAATCTGAGTTGCTTAGACACATCAAGATTCACACAGGAGAGAAGCCTTTCTCATGTGTGACCTGTCAAAAAAGTTTCAGAGTCAGATGTCATTTATTTCGTCACATGAGGAGTCACACAAGTGAGCCTTTCTCATGTGTGACCTGTGGAAAACGTTTCACATGGAAGTCTCAGTTAGTTTTTCACAGAAAGAATCACACAGGAGAGAAACCTTTCTCATGTACAAGCTGTGAAAAAAGGTTTACCAATAAAGTAAATTTAACAGCTCATGTGATGATTCACACAGGTGAGAAGCCTTTCTCATGTGTTGCCTGTGGAAAAAGCTTCCGTCAACAATCCTTTCTAACTGGTCACATGAGAATTCATACAGGAGAGATGCCTTTCAAATGTGCAAGTTGTGGAAAAGGTTTCAGAAACAGAAGTAATTTAAATCGTCACATGAGGATGCACACAGATGAGAAGCCTTACTCTTGTGGGACCTGTGGAAAAATGTTCCGTCAAAAAGCTAATTTAACTAGTCACATGAGGATTCATACAGATGAGAGACCTTTCTCATGTGGGACCTGTGGAAAAAGTTACACAGTCAAAACAGGTTTAATTGCCCACATAAATACACATTCAAATGTAAAGCTTTTCTTATGTGGGATGTGTGGAAAAGGCTTCAGTTATCAGAGCAATTTAACTAAACACATGAAGACTCATACAAGATGAACGGCATAATCTGATTCTCAAGTACCAAAACACAATAACTCACAGTTTGGTAGCAGATTAATTACAGCTGAGTAACATTTCTATAATGTAGCAGCTTGGAGAAGAAAAGCATTTAGAATAGGACGTTTATCTAAAACACTCAACTTTCACTTTATTCTGTCAGTTTTGTCTTTTCATTTAAAAGGATTTTTAAGTGAGATATTAAGTCTTATGACATTATGCATGCTTTTTATTTTTTTTGTCTAATGAGATTAATAGTCTGTCTCTGGAAGTAACAATGGATTTGAATGTTTTTAGATATTGACTTGTAAAGCTGTATTGTATGTCTATTTGTACTTTTATTTAATTAATTTTGGTTAGAGCATGTTAGCTGTAACTGTTGAGGGACGTATATTTAGATCAGCGGTTGTGGTAATGGAGTATTTTCCATATGTGATTGTTCTTTTTGTTTTAACCTTTTAACCCTCAACCCCAAAATCACCAAAAACATCTGAAAAGGTATACGCAAATTAAATCAGCTGATGTTCTTGAACCATTTGGAGTACATGTAAAAGCTCAACCAACCAACTATCCATCGATCCATCCATCTATTTTCTAATACCCTTGTCCCTTAGTGGGGTCAGGAGGGTTCCTGGTGCCTCTCCAGCTAACATTCTGGGTGAGAGGCGGGGTCATCCTGGACAGGTCGCCAGTCTGTCGCAGGACAACACAGAGACAGACAAGACAAACAACCATGCACACCTAGGGAGAATTTAGAGAGACCAATTAACAGTCTTGTTTTTGGACTGTGGGAGGAAGCCGGTGTGATAAAGGCTTCCTCCCTTTATCACAGGGAGATAAAGGGCCTCCCCTTATCACAGGAGGCCCTGTGATAAAGGGAGGAAGCCTTTTGCATGATCTCCCTGCACAGGGAGATCATGCAAACTCAATGCAGAAAGACCTGGGCTGGGAATCGAACCCAGGACCTTCTTGCTACAGTGCTCAGTTTTGTCAATGTGAAATTCATTCTTATGTTGATATTTGGATATTTTCTTTGGGACAAACTGGTTGCCATCAAGGTTCACTTTCAAATGTATGTTCCGATGTCCTCTGTAGTGGACGCATAACATTTCAAAAATAAAAACGTTTTTTCCCCAA